GGGGGGGGGGGGGGGGGGGGGGGGGTTGGATTTATTCTTTATTATATTTTTAACTCTATCGAGCTACAACAGTCTTGTATTTCCCTCAACTTTATTCATTTTATAACTTGTAATAAGCAAAGACTAGTTACACATTAATATATGAATTCATATTTTTGTCGATATACTTTTTCTAATCACTTACATTTTTTTAAAATATACATTTGTGTATACAATACAATTGTATGTAATACAATTACGTAATTGGAAACATTTAAAAATCATTTGCGCGCGTGTAAACATCGTTATACTGATGAAGGGCGCTATGTAGACACAAGTCGGCGAAAAAAAGCCAAAATATAATATTCATAATCATGACTCCTGACTGCATTTTCAGTACATTTAAGCTGACACCAAAATAATTGCGAGTGCATTTTGTTTACGTTTAACTCCCACGTATCGCATCAAAATCAAAACGCTCGGATATTTTTGAATTTAGCACATGTAGTCGGTTCAAACATTTAGGCTTTTATTTAACGGTGTATTTGAAATCTTATTTTTGTGTCGCGTCAACTGAAAGGCTACGCCTCGTGGTTTTAAACCCGATAAAACACTCCTGCTCGTTTATTAAACACTACATATAGTATAGTGCCTCTTATGGGACTCTAGGTCCCGTTTCGCACCCACCCTCTTGGTCCTACTTTCTTGTATTATTATTATTTTTCTTTAGTATGTTTGTTAATTACTTTATTCATTGAGAAATTTGAAGGCCAATAAAGCTGTTAAAAAAGAAGCCAAATACCCAGATGCCTGCGGTTATTATCCCGCAGTTTGTTTATTATTTGTTCTTTTGAGTAATTGTTGACATTTGGACGACACTTATACAAAATAAATGTGTTTTCGGAAGTTGCTGCTGAAGATTAAGCAAATTATCGGGTTTATTGCGAAACCAGCATATGTCAAAATTTCGAAAGCTTTTTCCAAAACAATCAAAATTAGAGCTGAATACGGTGAAAGGAAATAAGGATTCAATTTATCGAATACAAATAGAAGGAGAGAAATATAGTAAGGTACCCACGAGATGAAAAAAACAACCGTAATTGTTACCGCGAGTTGGACGATTTTTTGGTTCTGGCGTCGGCGGCGTGTAGTCGAAGCAAGGGCTGGCCTTCGCGCCATAGTTAATACAACGGCGCTGTACAAACAGATTATGGCAATAAGGGGAACTGCTATGAACGACACAAACCTAAACGTATCGAAAATTCGTCTTTGTTGGTTAGATAGAAGTTCAAAGCATACTGTTATTGCTGTATGTTGTAAGAATTTAACCTGAAATGCGTACAAGTATAACGCGTTTGCCGCTATTGCCGCAACCCAAATCCCCGGAATAACGAACTTGTGTTTAAGAAGTCTAGGCTTCTGTGCCAAAGGGATAACGATAGCGTAGAAACGATCCAAAGCGATTGCGACAATGCTGAATATAGACACAGCGCAAGACACTTCTCTCGCGAAGGGAACAAGCTTGCAAGACGCTTCAGCAAGGGCACTTGTGGACTCCCATTCTGGGCTTTTGGTGATGGCAACGTAGAGGCTTCGAGGAAGTGCGAAAAAAGTAGCCAATAGATCTGATACAGCCATGTTTACGATCAGAACATTTGCTTTAGTTCGCATAGACTTGTTTCTGAGAACTATACCGATGATAGTAGAGTTTCCGAGGACCGACAAGGCAATTATACTATAAGATATCATGGATGTGATTCTCATAGTATCTTTCACAGATTTCATCATGTAGTCTATCCCCGGGATGGTGAAGTTCGAGCAGGTTTCATTTAAAAACGCCGTATTACGATCAGTACTGTTCGCCATGCATGGGTGAAGATACATCGTCTTGTTTCGTAATTGTCTTTAAACTAAACGTACGAGTATTTATTACAAAAATCTATGAATTGGAAGAGTGAGAGAGAGAGCAGCAACAACAACAGCATTAGCAACAACAACAGCAGTAGCAACAGTAAGTATAACAGCTGAAGCGCACAAGTATTTATCTTAAAGAAAATTGTGAATTAGACTTTTTGAGAGCAGCAACGACAACAGCAACAGCGACAACAACAGCAACAACAACAGCAACAACAACAGTACAAGGCATACCATATACCCGTGAAAAACGGTGTAAGAAATTGTACAAATTTTCACAAATTAGTAAGTTCAGTAGACCTCAGTAGACCGTAGACCTACAAAACTTTGCACCAATTTGCACAATTTTGTTAGTTGACTTTTTCATGGATTTAGTATGGTTATGCACTCTAGCAGCAAAAGCCATTCAGAATAGCAGTAGCATCAAGCAGCAGCCACTGCAACAGAACAAGCGTTGCCGTTTTTCCCTGGCCGCAAAAGAAAAAAAAAAAAAAAAGAAGAAAAATAGAAAGGAATAGAAACGAGAAAGTGTCCACGGCCCTTACCTCAGTCGGATACTCTTTTGCAATAGTTGATCCAAAACTAAAAATGTCCTTACCATCTACAAGCTATAAATGACATGACCACCAGAGTTTGTGCAAGACGTATTTATGGAAAATCGTTCTTTTTCTTCCTAAAATTAACATTATTATTCGTCCTATTATAAGTTCATGCGTGTGTGTTCTGGATAAATACATGCTGAATTTTTGATGAAATATCCGACCTACAAAGACACCGAAAACAGCTAGATTGGCTCTTAATAACAGACGCCCAAAATTGCATGAAAATTAAGCGCTCGCTCAGGTTAATATATAAAACCGTTTACTAGAGCAAAATGACATTTCAGACAACGCGTCATTCCCTTGGTTACGCTCACGGCTCGTTTGACAAGAAATTCTTTTTACCAATGACTTCTTTGAAGGGTTAAGTTTAGAAGGTTCATATCGTAACACGATTTCTTTTGAACATTTCTATTCCGAGTGAGATTTTGACACAAATAATAATAATAATAATAATAATAATAATAATAATAATATATTATTATTATTATTGTTATTATTAATAGCGACTAACTATAAGAGAACAAGTATGAAAAACTGAATAACTAATAAAGCATTTTACTATATTTTCCAAGGGGAAAGTAGTAAGGAAGAAATTTCTCTAAAATTATCAATCTTGACATGTTGTCGTCTATGTGAGAGAAAGCTGATAATCCATTAGCTTTCCCACAAGCACGTTAACATTATTTGAAATAGCTGCTTATGAACTTTACTATTCCCCGATATGTGTTAGGAAATGAATATCGAGGCCTTTTTTGTATCGAAATGCCTTTTCACAACGCGAACACTCATAGGGCTTTGCACCGGTATGCGTACGGAGATGAACATCAAGATCAGATTTCTCATAAAAAGCCTTAATGCAATGCGTACATTCGTAAGGTCTCTCGCCCGTATGTGATCGTACATGCCGATATAAGTGAGCTTTTGTAGTAAATGCCTTTTCACATTGCGTACACTTGTATGGTTTTTCGCCGGTATGTATTCGCGAGTGACTAATGAGTGCACCACTCCGTGCAAAAGCCTTGCTACATATTGAACATTTGTATGGCTTTTCACCGGTATGTGTGCGAATGTGAATGTTGAAATCATTTCTATGTACAAATGCTTTATCACAAGACGAGCATTTATATGGCTTTTCACCGGTGTGGCTTCGTAAATGAACAGTTAGCTGGCAACTTCGAGCAAATGCCTTGCTGCAATGTGAGCATTTGAATGGTTTTTCGCCGGTATGTGTTCGAATATGACTAACTAGCCTTGCTTTCTTCGGGAACACTTTATCACAATATGAACACTTGTGTATTTTTTGAGGGGAATCTTTTTTTCTAGTATTTCTCTTTTCTTTCTTCTTTTTCTTGCTTTCTTCGTTGTCAACTTCATTATCATTGGCATCATCGGATTGGTCATCTTCCACTTTGTAATCATCATCATTGGCATCATCGGATTGGTCATCTTCCACATTGTAATCATCATCATTGGCATCATCGGATTGGTCATCTTCCACATTGTAATCCTCATCATTGGCATCATCAGATTCGCCATTCAAGCTATCTTCAATATCTTTATTTTCTTCTCGAAGACGTTGCAAATCAAAGTGCCCAGGATCCTGTGATAGCCCCATATCGTTGTTAGTGTCTGAGTTATATAAGTTGACTTCAACAACAAAGTTAGCAATTATGCTACTTTGATTACCATCAGTCATGATGACAGTACATTTTTCTTCTTTTTTTTCATCACTTTTGCTGTCTCTATTTTCCATTTGTCGTTCATTGTCCACATACATTGCGGTACATTGATTAACACAGTCGTAGTCTTCAGTCTGTGTAGCCACAGTGCATAGTTCAAATTCATCCGACTCCATCTTTCTGTGCTATTTGAATCCCTTATATACAATATGAGAGATGAGTTAATTTGAAATTGTGATAAATACTTTACTCCTCTGAATATCTAATTACATACATGGCCATGGATAGAAAAGCAATGAATACCAGTTTATGGTAGCAGATAGCAAAGGATAGTATAAGATAGCAATTGATATCAATATCGGCTCGTGATTGGAGTAGTCAAAACAACACAGCCACTCATATTGTAAACATTACTTATTAAACTCATTAATTATTCATGAGGAAAACACAACAGAAATCACGATAGTGAAGAGTTTTGTAAATCTGATACAAAATTGTGTTCATTTGCATAAACTTTAAGTTGGATTTTCTTGGTCAGATTCACTTTAATTTTGAAAATTTTAGTGAAACACAATGGAACTAACCCAGACAAGCAATCTACAGTATTCATGTCCGTTTTGTATCTGATATACAAACTCTCGGCTATGCCTCGAGTTCGTATATCTGATACAACACAGCCGTTCATACTGTATATATTACTTAAACATGGTCAGAATCAATGAATGATGATTGCTTCCTTTCAATATTGAATGAAATCATTCAAAAATTTATTTCCTTCCAGTTGTTACGATGTATTAACTGACTTTCATATTAAAGTTTTTTTTCTAACTTAGTCGTAATAATATTGAAATTTTTTGCTCATATTTGATTGGTCTGACACTGGCCAAAAAATGGCAAAAGTTGTGACTATCACAGTGAACTCAGATTGAATATTAAAAGGGTTATAGACTTAAAGTTTGAGTGTTCTTTACAAATACATTTGCAAATGCACTTGCTGACTGTATGATCAGGAAGGTGGTGCATTTAATAGCTTCTTGAGACAATGAACTCGAAATTTCTTCATACTGCACTTGGCTCCCTTGTGCAGTATTGGGAAATTTCTTGTTCATAGTTCACAGTCAAAGCGTGCGTGTATTTGTAAGCAAAACACTCACATCAGTCTCTAACCCCTTAAGCAGACAATGTTAGGATGTTGGTGAAGATGTATACACCTAATTCAAAAAACGTAGTTGGGTTCGAGAAGGTCATATCATCGAAGCTAAGACCGAAAAGGATTTTGAGTACTCCAAAATGTGTATTATATTTGCATATAGACATGCAAAAATGCACAGTAGAGCAAAGTCAGTCGACCTAGATTAACAACATGCCAAAGCCATGATGCATAAAATGTGCACAGGAAGGGAAAACTGCAATGTGCATGAAATTAGCATAATGGTTGTCTTCCCATGCTCCCCTCTGGTCATAGCTTTAATGATATAACCTTTTTTTGAACCCGACAACCTTTTTTTGAACCCGACAACGTTTTTTCAAAAAACAATACACAAAAAACAATATGTTTGTACAATCATGAAGTATCAGCCTGTATTTATAAACACTAACAAAAACTCCATTCGATTTTTAAATGCATTATTTCATCCAAATTATTAAAATTAAGAGAAAAATAATATTTACCCGTTCATATATAATATATACATATATATATAATAATGGATAATTATTCTAGAAGTTTCGAGAAGTCGAGCTCAGCTCAACACAGTTTGAGCCTTATCTTGGAAGTCTTGAGGCACATGACAAGTTACATAGATTGGAAAATACTTCCATCAATATAAAGGGGTTTAATGCCTAATGAACTGGAAAATATTAAGAGAACCGTGATCAAACAGACAGGCTGTAGATCAGCACCCACTACCCTCGAGTGATGAGCGCTTTGATCCTACAAACACCACAAAATATCAACTAAGCAGCCCTATAAATTATTACTAACTTACCTGACGTATCAGTTGATAAGGAAACGACCTGTTTGTGTTAGTGAATATCAACCAAAATGACAAGGTATTCGTTCGCAAGAGGTGGATTGATCGAGGTGGATTGGGACTAATACCACAGGTAGCCCGCGTTTTGAGGAACAAGAGCATAACAATATTCACATAAGGGCTGGTCATTATTTATCGAGGGGGGCGGGGGGCTGGTGCATTATAAAATATCAGTTTGCTTGACTTTTGCTGACCCCCCCCCCACCTTCTTTTTAAGCATGATTTTTGCTGAAACCTATGCATAAAAAATACTGACCCACCCCCTATTTATACCAGTTCCCCCCTTTCGATAAAAATAACTGGACCAGTCCCTAACCTTCAAATAAAATGTTTCATCGACTTTGGACCTCTGGCTGTCTGCGCTGTATAGTTTTCTTAATATTGTGCAGATTGGAAGAGGATGACGCCAGATTTTGATATGGATCGGTAGGCCATCCATAGCCGTGTTGTTGAACATGCTGTCGCGCAGCAGGATTTCGATTTTTTGGAATGGAAAACATAGTGAGTCTAGTACATCGTGTTTAGGCCTTTCGTTAGCGAATATTCTTTCTCATTACTCGGATTTTTATTCCCTCATAAAATAGTAAGGCGATGTTGTTAACTAACTGAAGAAAAGAAAGTGTGCAAAGGACTCTGGTAGTGGTAGTAAGACAGCCTGAAAAAGAGCGTGACTATATAAGACTGGCTTCCTGTGGTATTATACCCAGTCCTCCTCTTTACGTTCGATGTGTTCAATCAATGCGTTACGAATACCTTGTTATTTTGGTTGATTTTCCTACGGAAGCAGGCTGTATTCTGGTTTACTGATAAGGTAAGGCAAGTTAGTAATTATTTATTGGGTCGTTTAGTAGATATTTAGAGCTGTTTGTAGGATCTAAGTGCTCATCACTCGAGCGCAATGGATGCCCGTTTTACAGTACGTCGATGGATATTTAGCCTGTTTGATAATCGTTCTCTTATTCCATTAAGCTGCGTGATTTTGATGGAATTATTTGCACAGTTATTTGCACATATAATACATTTAAAAAACCAACGAATGATATTGGAGTTTCTGTTAGTGTTTATAATACAGGCTAAGACTTCTTTGTTGTACACACATTGTTATTGTCTCTTTGTTCTGATCATATATAGTTAATGCTGCGTTCTGATTGGATGAACTACTAGTAGGTTATTAATTATAGCCTACTAGCAGCGAAAAGTGCAAGGTTTGAAAGCCAAAAAAATGTTTACATATCAATATTAATTTTGTCCGACTAGTTGGATTTGACTAACACAATTAGTCCTCTCACTCTCATGGCCTATGAGTCAATACACGTACCATTCAGACTTGAGGCCATAGTGAGTAGTGAATCAGCTGGTGTAAAAACAGCAAAACTAATGATAAATCAATATATTTATAAATAAATATAATAACATGCAGCTGATAAGAGAAGCTTTTTTAGCCAACATAATTGATAAAATTTGCAAAACTAAGGTGTCACTTTTTCTCTTGAAATTTATGGATTTCAAGGCCGCTAAATGAAAAAAAAAACGTTGCTAATAAGAGGTTGTTAACAGTAACACAATAACTAATGAGTTTTATATATGCATTGCAATGGTGGGGAGGTTTTTTTGTTTTTCGCTGGTCAATTTTTGCAGGTTTCATTACACCACAGTTTTTCAGTGATGTCATTTCTACGTCGCTATTTCATATCAGCTACATAGACTCTTCAACAGTCTCTCACTCGTCCGTTTCGTCTCCACGCTTAGAGACTGTAACGGTACAATGACCGAAAGTTTCAATATTTTCAAGATGGCGGCGAAAAAGAGAGAGACTGTGGACGAGTATTTTGGTTCCCAAAGCACGCTGGGTCCAAGTTTTCGGGACCCATAAGTCCTTTCGGTCATTGTACTGTTACAGTCTCTAAGCGTGGAGACGGAACGGACGAGCAAGAGACTGTGGAAGAGTCTAATCAGCTACATATGGTATTTATTTATGTGTAATTTTAGCAGGGTGGAAAAATCTAATAGTCAATTAGATTATTTGGGCTTCTGGAGATCATTAAGTATTCTTTGCTACCAACTACCATTGGTTTCTATTGCTATGTGTTAGTAGCTTTTGCTATCCAATGCTCTGCATTGCTATCCATTAGTATTCTTTGCTATCTGGTCATTATGCAGAGGAATTAAGATAGTTGCTTCCATTTTGAATTAAGTTATATATCATATTATATTTTAGGGATCAAAATAGCTCAGAAGAATGGAGGTGGATGAAGTTGACTCTGATTGGTTTGCTTATGCACGCAGATCAGGAGATATTTTGTTTTATTACAATATTAAGACAGGAGAACACAGATACCCTGAAGATCCTTCTCAATCTGAGGTAATTGTAACCATAACTTTAACCGTAAGAGTTTATTCAACCCTAAAAAAACCCTAGCTGATCAAAATTAGGGCACGGCTAACTCACAGATCAAACCCTAAAACAACCTCTGGGCTGATCTAAGTCAGGGCACAGCTAACCCACAGATTGAATTGGAATTTAGCTTTGTAGGTTTTGTAAAGGAGAAAAGCTGAAGAACCTGAGGAAAAACACCAAAGCATTTTAGTAGCATCATAGTCCAGTAGTGCACCTAATGTTATGATTGTTTACTATATTTTCTGTCAATCTAGAACACCATCCTCAGCCTACGATCCTGTGATGTGCCTTTGCGACCTGAACTGTGCAGTGTCGCCACACAGACTGATGACTACGGCTGTGTCAATCACTGTACGTCAATGTATGTGGACAATGAACGACAAATGGGAAAGAAAAACACTGAAAGCAATAAGAAAAGAGAAGAAGGATGTACTGTTATTATGACTGATGGTAATCAAAGTAGCATAATTACTAACTTTGTTGTTGAAGTCAACTTTGATGATGATGAAGATGGTCAAGTCCTTGCGGAGTTAGATAACTCAGACACTAACAACGATACAGGGCTATCACGTGATCCTGAGCACTTTGATTTACAACGTCTTCGAGAAGAAAATGAAGATATTAAAGATAGCTTGAATGGCAAATCTGATGATGCCAATGATGATGATTACAATGTGGAAGATGACCAATCCAATGATGCCAATGATGAAGATTACAGTGTTGAAGATGACCAATCCGATGATGCCAATGACAATGAAGTTGACAACAAAGAAAGCAAGAAAAAGAAAGAGAAGAGGAAAAGAAATGTAAAGAAGAAAGAAAAGAAACATACTAGGAAAAAAGATTCTCTTAAAGAAATACACAAGTGCTCGTATTGTGATAAGGTGTTCTCGCGGAAATCAAGTCTAGATCGTCATATTCGAACACATACCGGCGAAAAGCCATTTAAATGCTCACATTGCAGCAAGCAATTTGCCATGCTAAGCATTTTAAATGTTCATTTACGAAGCCACACTGGTGAAAAGCCGCATAAATGTTCGTATTGTGAAAGGGCATTCGCATATAAAAATGATCTTAACAATCACCTTCGCACACATACCGGTGAAAAGCCATTTAAGTGTTTGCACTGTGATAAGGCTTTTGCACGGCGTGGTGCACTCATTGGTCACGTACGAATACATACCGGCGAAAAACCATACAAGTGTACGCAATGTGAAAGTGCATTTACTACTAAAACTCACCTAGATCGGCATGTACGATCACATACGGGCGACAGGCCTTACGAATGTACGCATTGCATTAAGGCATTTTATCAAAAATCTGATCTTGACGTTCATCTCCGTACGCATACCGGTGAAAAGCCATATGAGTGTTCTCATTGTGGTAAGGCATTTGGATACAAGAGAGGCCTCCATATTCATCTACGAACACATATCAGGGAATAGTTCATATATAGTTGCTTCAAAATAATCGTGATGGAAGGTTTTTGTTGCATGCTGCATAGCAAACACAAAATGCACTATTGATGGTTTCACAGCGGCCATGTTGGAGGAACTTAAACAAAAGAATTATCAGTGAATTCTTTTGTTATATCCTCCAACATGGCCGCCGTATCTTTTGTTCTTTAATTCTCTTGGGAATGGTTGAAAACCATCAATGTGCAATGTGAATACAATCAGGGAAAGGACACAACAACATAGAATTTTCCAAATTAAAACCTTGTCTGCTTGTTTTATGTGGCATATTTTCTTTTGTTCCGACTTTATTAGCATATGATCCAAAATACAATTCAATCTTGGTATGCAACATGCAAAAAATAGGAACCTTCGCCACACTTAGACTATCCAATTTATATCGTATTTATATCGCTTTTTATTACTTTTAACACAACATTTAACACGTAGGAAGCTATTCACCATTTTCCATAAATTGATTCACTGGTCAAACACAAAGCACTCAAGGGAGGTGCCAAGGTATTTTCAAAGGATTGTTTAAATTTGAACCTTGAAACCTCGACTGAATGCTTTGTGTTTGACCAGTGAACCGATGTATGGAAAATGGTGAATAGCAGCTGATCTTATTGGAAGAGAGAGATTTTAGTTCAAGCGTGAAATTCAAAAAATAAATCAGAAATATGCTTCCTGTTAAGATATTTGTATGTACTATAAGTAACTCTTATCAATATTTCAGCTTTAATGAATATCTTTTTCTATGTAAAAGGTACTAAAATAATGTAAAGTTGAATATGATAAGTTTGTTTACTATACTATAAGTTGCATATTCCTAATGGTAAATAAGAAGAGATAACTAGCTTCTGGTAATATCTGTGCCTGAAAGGGAGGGGGGGAAGGGGAAGCTTGAAGAATCTTGGAGGTTGTATGCATAACTTCATTTCTGGTGTCAGGCAGTAGAAATATTCAGATAGAATATTTAGGCCTAGGGCAAACGTCGAACTTTCCATGCACCGAACTCATTAAAAACAATGGATATCAGGTGATAATGAGGCGGCATTCTTTGATGTAATTAAATTGCCCTAGGCCTAAGAGAACTTATTTTGACATGTTTTGATAACAGTCCCAGCTCCAAAAAGTCACGAGATTGATAACACAGGAAGCCCATACAAGCTTTGAGAACTGAATGAAATATTATTTACTCACATGAAGTGTTGTTTATGTCGTCCTTGTTCTTTAATAGTGATTTCAAGCCATTTTAGTGATTTTGTAAAAACTTTCCTTTCCCCTATATAAGAGGGGAAGAGGATTTTTTTTTTTTAAATCGCTAAAATGGCCCGAAAACACTACTAAAGAACAAGGACGATGTAAGCAACACTTCATGTGAGTAAATATTAGCTTTTGTATTATTATTTGTTCGTTAAAATTACATTCAGTTTTCAAAGCTTGTATGGGCTTCCTGTGGGGAGTGTTTAAGAGTCTAACAGATGTTATTGGGATCCCTGTGGTCAGTTTGTGGTTATCTGGCGCGTGGTTCTCAAAATATCTTGCGATTTTGGCCAATTTTCCTGCACAAACACACGTTGTTTAGGTCACCTTATGCGTCAGGTAAGTCAGTAAAGATGTATTAGGTTGTTTAGTGGATATTTAGTGCTAGCTCTGAAATGCTGATCGCTCGAGGCGGTCATTTGTATTAAAGGTTTATAAAGCAGTTGTTTATAAACGATGCTAAATTATGGTAATCTGTATAGAACAATAAAACGAAGATGAAAATGCAAGTAAAGTGCAATATAAGAGCATTATTGTATTAAAATACGCTTCGTTAGCTATTCTAGCTTCGTCAAACTATTCAATAATATTTGCTAACAGGATTACAATGCTCCCAACGAGGCAGCCATTTTTTCCCACAGGAATCCCATGATTAAATAAACGCACTAAAGTCTTATCTCCGCCTGGAAGATAAAAGAAAGAGAGAAAGAAAAGAGAATAAGAAAAAAGGAAAGAAAAATGAAACAAAAGAAAGGTTTTGGGATAGGGAAGGGGATTGAAATCTTTACTGCTGCTTCTGCATTTATAATTTTCTGGCCAACACAGTAAAATAAATACTTTGTGTCTTTACAAGAGGGGTGACTATTACGAATGTTTTACCAGGAATGCAAGTAAAAGGGAGTGGCTTACAAAGGATGATATTGAAAAAAATTTCAGCAATAAGCCAGTTCATACTTTAAGGATTGTTTTCAGTGCGCGTGCAATTTTATCCCGAATTTCTCACCTTTTGTTTAATTAACGACAAAAGAAGGTTTAAACAAAAGAAGGTGAGAAATTCGGGATAAAGTCGAATGCGCACAGAAAGCGATTCTTAAACTATGAACTGGCTTATAGGGAAGGGGGGTGACTAGTCACTCTCTTTATTACTCCTCAAGCCACCCCTGCTTTCTTGTTACTGGTGGAGCTAAAGCATCATCAGTCCTGCGGTTCAGACATTCAATTTCGGTGCTTGATTAAAACTAAATATTTGTTTATTCATTTTAGTATGTCAATGGGTTCAGGTGACCATGTAAAGAGAGAAGATATAGACTCAGATGAAACAGAGTCAGATTGGTGTGGATATGCTTGTAATTCAGGAGAGATTATGTTTTATTACAACATTAAGAGTGGAGAGCACAGATGGCCCACAAATTCTCCTAACTCTGAGGTAAGGCTGCATTCATAATGTATGGCAGAGGGGGGGGGG